CCATCTTCTACGTTCTAGCGCATAGCTGCACGCAGTAACCCCTATAACCGAGGATACAAATACAAAGAAGAAGTAACTCCCCAAACTATACTAGGGCACCACGTGCCTGAACCAGTATAAGCCTTGTGTCTCGTTGCTACCCATCTGATTCATCTTACGCTGCTAGGTATTGCCGGAGCTAACTCTTTCGATAGATGATAATCAATTATAGATGTAGGCCACTGACTGACGAAGGCCACTAACTAATGAAAGCTAATATATGACGACAAAGGCCACTAACTGACAGAGGTCGCTAATTGTCGAAGGCCAGTAACTAACGAAGACCAATGAATGATGAGTGCCAATAAATGACGAAGGCCAATACTTGATGAAGATCAATGAATGACGAAAGCCACTGACTGGTGATAACCAATGATAGATGAAGGCCGCTGATTGAAGAAGGATGCTGATTGATGAAGGCTGATTTTTGTGAGGTCTAGGCTAGGAGATGATGATCACGACCATATGAAACAAGTGCTCAACCTAGGAGGAGATAGAGCTTGGAGCAAGCTGTAAAACAAAGATATATCAATAGGCGTATTATTAAGAAGGAAACCCTAAAGCGATTGCGGTTATCTAGTATCATTAGATACAGACCAACTTTACATGTGCATGTGGTGAGGAAGCAGGTTAAAATGCTTTAAAAATGTTTTGGAGAAGCTAACTCGATGCTTAAAGTGATTGGTGTTCAATTGTAACACATTTGGAGTAAGCAAGGTTTGAAAATCATTTAAGAGAAGGGCTTAATGCACTAAAATTATACTCACTAGATTTATCGGATTTTATTATGATGTGACAATCCTTATTCAATTGTATACTTTTATTAGATACATTTCGAGACCCTTCATCTTTGAGAGATCATGCACTACTACAAAATTCATTTTCACCGTAGGTTTGAATAAAACTATTGGTGATATTTTTGACCACCGGTTCGTAATACAAGATAGTGGTGAAAATAGGGGAATTATCACCTCCCTTTGGTGGCATAAATCGCTGGTGATAATCTATTATTACCATCAAGGGCAAAATTCGGCTGTGATAGGAGGTTACGAACAGTGATGACTGTCATGGACTCATGGCTCACTCTTAATAATAAACAGATAAGAATAACATATGTGTTTAAAACCAAGCACGTACATTTCTCTCTCTCCTTATTGTGCATCCACTTAAGGCTTCACGCAGAGTTAAATATCTTAGTCCTCGGAACCTGGAAATAAAAAGAAGTCATATATCCCTCTTTGGTCAAAATCATTCAGCCACGGAGATTATTTTCGTATCTACATCCATAGGTACATAGTTTTTTTGTTGTTGAAATGGATGTACCATGTAGTTTAGTCCGTACCTACAACTGTACATGTTTTTAGAGGGTACAATAAGACGTAATCATCACACACACTCCACATTCACACCACATAAGATCAGTGCAGGGTTCATTTTATTTGTTGCAAAACTCTACTGGTAGGCTTGTATCGGTCGAATCCAATAACAATGAATGACTAACCAAGTGGCCGATAATACCAAGTTCGTAACTACTACCTCTGTCCCAATAAGAATATAATTACGCGATTCGTGCCAGTCAAACAAACTCAAGTTTTACCAAATTTATAGTAAATACTAAATAGTGTTAACATTTATGTATCTAAATAGGTTAATTATGAAAATATATTTCGAAAGAATGCAATTATGGAATTCGTGCTAGTCAAACAAACTTAAGTTTGACCAAATTTAAAGTGAATAGTATTAAAATTTATGTCTCTAAATAGATTTATTATAAAAATATATTCCATGATTGAACTAATTGTACTTACTTTTTATCATAAATAATAGTAATTTCTTTATATAACTTTGGTCAAAGTTTAAATTATTTGACTCTTGGAAAATGAGAATTATATTTTTTTTAGGGACAGAGGGAGCTCAAACGGTATTTGACAATTCCTATTATGGGCTGTTTGGTTTTTTCGGAATACACCAGGAATAATTTCAGCTCCTCAACATTACTACAAATTATTGAATCATTCCGGCTAGGAATTATTCCCGGTCCCTATTCCTGATCAAATGAATAAGCCCTTAGTCTGTTACTGGCTTGCCCTTGGGACTCTTGACGGGTGTGATATGCCACAACCGAAAACTAGATACACACGGGTTTATTAGGTGGAGCTTATACTTATATACTATAAATATTAACCAAAAATAATTTTGCGTTGTGATATCTTCCGCCTGAGCATCTCGGGCAGGATGCGCGGGCGTCGGGCGGGTTGGCACGTTACTGTCGCCCTAGCGGCCCAGCCCGGCAGCGGCAGCCAACCACGCAGTGTCGATAGATATCGGCCCCGTTTGTTTCCACTTCTCCTAGCCACACTTGGATTATAATCTAAGCGAAGATTTTCTCGTTTTTCGCTTTTCGCTTCTCGTAGTTCAAATCTCTGAAGCGGCTTACCACATAAGCGAGAATCGATGGAAATAAGCAAAACGTTTGGCGGGATTCTCGCTTATTTCCACCGACAAGCCGGTTATAAGCGGAAACAAACGGGGCCATCGTCATCTTGAAGGAGCATGCATGCATTTGGCGTGTGCTTACTCGGCTGCGTTAGGGAGTGTCTAGGAGGCGGTCGGGTGTTTCATAGGGGTCTGACACTCGAGTGTTGAAGGCCAACTGGACACACGATTTGGATAAAAAAGAGAATCGAGTGATTTTAATCCGACCAACACTCGATAGCTATCAACATTGGATCCGGATCAGATGGACCAAAAAAAATTATCCAAATAATACAAAAAATATTAAACAAACAAAACAAAAAATATTAGCCAAATTATTTCTATGAAAGACAAATTAGAAAAATTAAAAAAGAACCAAATAACACATACAGAAAATAAAAAAGGCAAAAAAAATTGATTAAAACTTACACCAATTGAACACAAAACTTACACCCAAATAGAAATAGTAAAATATGGTTCAATAAGATATAATCTACTCTTAGGTCTTATTTAAATCCAGGGTGTAAAGTTTTAGGGTGCCATATCGGGTGTCATATGGGGTGGTAGGATACTAATAAAAAAAATAAATTAAAGAATATGTTAGTAATCTGCAAGACGAATTTATTAAGCCTAATTAATCTGTTATTAGCACATGTGTACTGTAGCACCACATTATTAAATCATGAACTAATTAGGCTTAAAAGATCAAATTAGTCATAAACTGTGTAATTAGTTATTTTTTAATCCATATTTAATACGTTATGTGTCTAAATATTCTATGAGACATGAATAAATTTTAGAGGAGAAATAAATCTGCTACTGCTAGCTAGGTGCGATTACTGATATGACATGTACCAGCAATGCTACTAGTTGGAGCCTGTGCACCCAACGACGGTGGAAATAAAAAGGCCTCGTTTAGTTGGATGAAATTTAGAAATTTGGCTATTGTAGCATTTTTGTTTTTATTTAGCAATTAATCATGGACTAATTAGGTTCAAAACGTTCGTCTCGCGATTTTTTACTAAACTGTGCAATTAATTTTTTTCGTCTATATTTAATGCTCTATACACATATCGCAAGATTTGATGTGATGGCTACTGTACCACTTTTGGGGAAACTTTTTGAACTAAACGCGACCAAAATATCGACTTCAGACATGCTTGCAGCGACTTCAGACATGCTTGCAGCATGCTGCCGTACGTTCACTTCCCAAGCCTCCTGCCTCCCGTCCACTACTCTGCACCGAGCCAGCGAGCGCACGTCTCTCTCTCACTGCATGCACCTGCAGCGTGCCGTCCCGTCCCGTGTCGGAGGGAACGCGGTGTGGTGTGTGGGCTCCGTGACCGCTTGCGCGCTCATCGCATCCGTTGACAGCACCTCATCCGACGGTCACATAATCGAGTACGTGAGCCGAGAAGAAAAGGCACTCGAGTGACTGCTAGATTTACCGTTACTAGGAGTATTTATAAATACTCTATTTATTCTAAATTATAACACCGTTTTAATTCTTCTATTAGATATATAGCTTTGGTTATAGTAAAAACAATGTATCATCAAAGTCAAAATATCTTATAATTTAAAATCGAGTTTGTTGTACATTACTAGTCAGATATATATAGACAGGTAAGCCTGCCGCGTCTAGCCTGCCGCTGGCCATGATCGTTTCGTCCACGGCCGGCTGTGTGAAACATGCAAATGGAAAGCATGGAAAGACCAGACCTACGGTTGGTGCTGGTTTGTTATGAGAAAAAAATATTATTGACTGGCTGATTTGGGCTGACCGAAACCAACAAACGAACATATATGTATCCAAATATTCGATGAGACAACGACTAAAGTTTAGGAGGTGGAACCAAACACCTCTGACACCGCAATCAGAGCATCTAAAGTTCAGAGTTGGTCAGTGGTTGGATTTGGATATACTCCTACTTGTTAGGTTCACTTTGCACAAGCTTGGCACGCCATGGCCCATGGTACACGAGTTCGATACTCGAGAGAGTGATTGATCGTTATGGGCCAGGTAGCGTCGGGTGTTGCACGCTCCAGTTAAGAGTTCAGTCCATGCACCCGGGCGCCTACCAAACTTTACAGGCCAGTGCCAGTCACCAAAGTGGGGGTGGTTCTGACGAGTCATACCAGAGAGATACCAAGCGTTTCTCCCTTCGACTTCCACACAACACAACAGTCCCGTGCAAAAGTGCAAAAAGGGCAAAAGGCTGAGTATACTCAGTACAATTATATGTACGCCTACAGCAAGACAATCTCTGAACTAAGAGACGTGGTCTCTGCTTCACTCAAGCGTCACTACGCTTGCTACAACAAAACGATACAGCTAACGGACGCCTCCTTGGAGCCCTTCTTGCTCGCGGGCCTGACGATATTCAGGTAGAGCTGCCAGTTCAGACGCCTGGCTGGAGACCTAATAGTTCAGTAAGCGCGGCAGCAGACAGTTTGCTGAACCTCATTTTGGTGCACGCTGCGCTGGCTCATGCTTTCTTGAAGAATGACATAATGCTCCCTTGCTTGGTTCCAGCCTTCGCAGGTTTCTTGTTGCCTGCTGCTGTTTTGCTTGGAGCTTTGCTTTTGTCAGTGTTTGCTGTTGGCTTTGATTTGCTTGGGAGAGTCACCCTGACAGAAAATTGGAAATAAAAAGGAGCATTAGTATGCTGAAGATGAACATGGAAAGCAATGACATTGGTTTGCTTACAAGTTAAAACATGGAAATAACAAGGCAGCGAAGCTGAAAATGAAAGCACTGGTGCAAGTTATCTCATAGTATGCTGAAGATGAACATCAGGCCAGGGAGGTGCTGCTCTTGAGCTGCATCTCTACTTGTACATATTATAATGAATTCCAATACGCAAACAAAACTAAGCAAAACAGATTGACAGTGCCTCACAGTGTAATCCTCTGGGCATGTTCATTCGTTTGAGAAACAATTCAATAAGCACAGCAGAAATGGATAAGAATCAGTAATCAACCGATGTGCATTGAGCAGTTTATATATAGGATTCTATAGCAACAAATAGCTTCAGGCATCAGATTAAGTAACCACAAAGCTTGACATTCCTAACTGATAAGCTGTACACAACTGTTCATAGCCATCTAACATGTAGACAAGTCCTTTTGTTCAGATTTCAAAATTCACTCGGGCAATAAAAAGGCGAATTAAACTTGGAAATATACCAGTACCCAGCAGAGGTCTGGCCAATGGGGTCACATTGGTTCACCAAGCATAAACTAAAAATTAACTGCCTTATACCATCTGTTTTGGGTCAATTTCTCTCAATTCATACTGAAAAGTGTTGTAGTCATTTTACAAGGGAAACTGTGACAGGATAGATATACCCCTCTGCAGATCTTTCTCTGCTGGCTCAGGGTCACCGAGCAGACAACCTGCTACTCCCTCCATTCCAAATTATAAGACATTTTGGCTTTTCTAGATACATTGCTTTTACTATGTATCTAGACATAGTGTATATATAAGTACATAGCAAAATCTATGTATCTAAAAAAAGCCAAGACGTCTTGTAATTTGGAATGGAGTACATAAATAGAGGGATTCAAGATTGATCATATTGTGACTTCAGCTAAACAAAGTCTCTCCCTTGTGAAACTATATAATTTTTAGAATTGCACTTATACGATTAGCGCACTGGAATCAATTTGCAATTTTCCTTTTGCTCCTTATGATATAGCAACAAAAGACGAGTTGTCTAACAAAGTTGAATGGTATTTGATTCACTCTCAATATCAACTGCCACCATCGATCTCAAGTATAAACATGCAAATATAAATTTATAGATCAGGATTGACAAGAAATTTCACATGCTGCAAAATTAAAAACAATTCTATTACCCGCTCGCAGTCGCAGCAGTAGTGTTGATATTCTTCTCTGCCTTGTCATCTGCAGATGCTTCACCCTCCCAGACAACCTCGGTAACTGAAAAGGATTATAAGCAAATTTCCAACAGATTCAGAATCATGCTGCCAAATCAAAAAGGAGATGACATAACAAGCAAATGGATAAGTGATATCAGTAAGACAGTAACACAAATCATTGGCACATATAAATCGTGGACTTTGCATGCATGCAACCAAAATACAAATAGGAGTAGATCTATAATTTCTTCAATGTTTTGATAGCTTCTATATCACCTTAAATTATTCTTTTTCGCTGCAGATTGTCAAAACCATTTCGCATCAGGTCAACATTTTAACACAGCATGTCAGCAGAATAATGACGTACAGCATTGGAGTTTTATTTCAAGTATCCCTTAGGCATAAAAATAAAAGACTGGATAGGCACAGTGTCTTTTACAGAGTTCAGTATAACTACCTTCCCTTCCCCTCTCATCTATGCGTGTCTTCAAAACCTTTCTTCTCTTCGGTGAGGTGGAGGCAGGCTCAGCTGCAGAATCCTGCTTCTTGTCATTGATTGGAGGATCACTGCTCTTTTCTTTTAAAGTAATCCCAGAATGGTTCATAGTATTGACAGTTTTGATTTTACATTCAGCAGTGAAGTCAGAATCCACCCCCATTGAGGAACCTTTCTCATTGTTTGGTACATCGTCTTTATTTTCCAAGTTCTTTTGATTTACTTCAGTGTCTTCAGCAGTTCCAATAACAGGGTCTGGGGTATGCTGTTTTGATAGCTCAGGAGATGCAATGCTTACAATATTGTTGTCTTCCTCATCATCTGAAAAATCAAATACCGCTCTTCTCTTTTTGTTATTTGCATTGGTGGATCCCCTCTTGTACTTTATTCCCTGTTCATCATCGCTGCTATCTCCATCTGCTTCTTCCTTTGCACATATTTGTGCATCAGCAGTAGCTGAAAATAATATTAACAGCATGAGACCTATAATGCATGCTTGGAAGGGTTGATATACAGGACTAGATGTGTGCTGAGTTATACACAAGAAAGTAAAGCACAAAGAATTAAATATGAGCATTTGTGAGATAATACCTGCAACACTTGCTACAGCTGTAGAATTAGTGGTACTTGGAGGCTTAGGTTTTGCTGATGCACGGCCCCACATGTTAGCCAGCGATCCACCATTACTAGGCATGGCCTTTCCATTTTGAGCTTTACTTTTTCTTGCATGGGCATCAATTGATTGTTCTTCGACAACAGGAGCATTGCCAGCTTTATCTAATACTGTAGAATTGTCCTTCTCAGACTTATTGCCTGCTCCCTGCTTTGAACTTACAGGCAAATCTTGCTGCCGAGCAGTAACAAACTGCTCCTTTGGAGTAACACTAGGTTTAGACTGTGCGACTGCTGCAGCACTATTTAAGAGCTTTGGTGGCAATGAACTCACATGCTTCCCATTGGATGTTCGCTTGACAAAAGAATTCAAAACACCACAAAACCTGTGCATAATTGAGAAGTGACCAAATTGAGAATACTGATCAGGGATAAAAAGTTGCATACATATACATGCATATAAACACAGGTATACATCAGGGTATTATCTCTGGAAAATTTCGCTATTTTATATATAACTCTATCTCCATCTATCTGTTTGTTTGGTTATGTATATTCGCATCTGGTTATGTCTTCCCTTACAATTCCTTTGTGGCTGTGCCTGCTTGAGGCTTGGGAGAAAACCAAGGGGCTAAGAGAACAATACCTATTATCTCTCAAACAGTTCTCGTCATCAAAAGGCTGGTTGAAAAGCTCCTCTGCCTGCACAAATTCAGGATTCCAAAGTACAGCTGTATCTTTTGGAATACAGGCCTGGATACTGTAGATCTGGACCGAACAAGAATCTTTGAAACCTTGCCTTGCTTCTGCATGGAAGAAAGGTTAACTTCTCAAGTAAGAAATTTGACACTAGGAAAAAAAAAGCATATCACTGGGAAGTGAAGACACAGGATAACTTTAGATCTATAGTTATCATAATATTTATCCTAGAGGGAGCACCGTAGATCAGGAAACTCTACCATAAGTAAGAACAGGAATTCATGTATTACCTTCAAGTTTTGGGCCTGAAATGAGCTTTACACAATAACTTTGGGGATTGTTCTTCAACCACCCCGACACACTGTAAATCACTTGGAGGCCGGTTCCATGTTTGTTGAAAATTTCCTGAAGCAACCTGGACATAGTTGCTAACTGCATAAGCCATCCTCATGACATTACAGTTTCCCAGGACAAAATATTAACAACAAGGCTGAAATACTACCTCTTGGCATCATTTGATGAGACAGAAAAGTTCCGACTAAGCCATTTGTACGAAATCTGTTATAAAAGCACAAGATAGAATGCTGGAACGTTAGTCACTGGGAAACAGTTCCAACAAAAAAAAAAGAATAATGGAGGAAAAGTAGACAAGTAACCAACAATCTCAAGTGACAAAGGCGTATCACTGATTCATCATATTGAGTTGAAGTAACAGTGATCCTTACTCACTCCTAACAGGGGATAAAACTCAGCGAACATAGAGATCTCATTTAATCTCTTTCATTATTTGTGAGACAGCCACGCTGAACAGAATTAGACAAATCAAAATCGATTGGTATGACAACTCAGCATATCACATCCGCAGGCTTCAGTAAGGAGTTGCAGTGAATACTAGTCTTCAAAGAAACATTAATTAAATTAATTAGGAATATGTACAGGAGTTAAGCAACAATGAGACTGGTGCTTTTTTATGAGTGCAGTGCATCAACAGATATGCAGGACGTAATGCACTTTGGAGCTATTTCCCCGCATAATCAAATAGTTACCACTAGTAATAAAGCATAACAAATGTCAATGAATCATCAGAAATTACCATAACACTAACTAAATCCGTCGCCCTAAGCAAGATAAAATGAGCAACAAAACCAACAGAATCCAATCCGTGTCATCTACCACCCCCAACCGTAGGAATCCACGAAACAGCTAAGCCACGCGCCACGAGATCGAAGGGGGGGTTTAGAGCGGGTGCTGAGCCCATCATTACCACGCGAAGCGGGTCGGAGAAGAGGGCATGGATCTGGGGCAGCAGGTCGAGCAGCGACTGGTCCACGGCCCCTCCCGCCATTCTCCCGCGCCAGAAGGTCCTGGAACCCTCGCGGCTAGGGCTTCCGAATCGTGGGGAGGCGAAGGTTCTGAACCCTCGCGCCTAGGGTTTCCTTCCAAGTTGGGGGAAGACGAAGAGGAGGGTGCGCGGGATTGGGAATTTGGGATTGGGGCGTGGAGCCGCGGCTGAGCCACCAGGCGGCGGCGGTTTTCCCGCTCCCGGCTCCCGCCTCTCTATTTCCTTGGCGCAAAGACGGCGGGCCCCGCCTTACAGGCTGCGGCGCCACCGGCTTGGCGGTCGAAGGCCCCAATTTTTTTTTTTTTGCCTTTTTAAAAAAAAAATACATTTAGAATCTCGTGGGTTTCATCTTTTCGTAGACTCGTTTTTTAAATTTGAGAAATCATTTTTTATAGACTTTGGGCTCAACGCCATGGCCTACGTCGTCGAGATAACATGTCTCGGCGCCATAGATCATAGCGCCGAGGTGGGTGGCCAGCGTCAGTGTGGCGACTCACTTGATCGTGACGGGGTGCTTACATGGCAACTGGCTCGGCGCCGTGGATCTTGGCGCCGAACTCGCTGGCTAGTGGGACCAGTTTCTTCCTTTGCTTTCTATACTTCTCTCTCCTGTTCTTCCCTCTCGCCCTCTTTGTTTCGCGACTGCCCCGATCGAGTGTCTCCCCGTCACCTCTCCGACGCTCCCCCGCTGTACCTACGCATCCTCGCTGCGGCCGCCTGCCCACCTCTCTGCTAGGGCGTCTCCCTGGTGCGGCCACGGTCGGGGCCTGCCACCCTGCTCGGCCTCCTCCCCGTCGCCTCCTACGCCACCAAGCCCACCCCGGTGCCTATCTAGCCCGGCACTTGGACAGGCGTTGCGGGGAGGAGGACCTTGGTGGCGCCCCACGCAACTGTGGCCACCAATATTGTCGTCCGCTTAGCTGTCCACTACCACGTCCCACCACTCCGCCCTCCCGCGAGCATAGCACAGGTGATTTGCTTAGTTAATTTAGTTAACGTAGTTATTAAATTTAGTGACATAGTTAGTGCATTTAGTTATCTATTTTAGTACTTATAGTTATTAATTGTAGTTTATTAACCTACATAAAGGCCCCTATGTCTTCCATACCACATCTCCTCCTCGAGGCATCAAACTTCTACTGCACAACTAACCATGTCTTCCTAGAAGTCTAACCCATTCGGAGTGTCGGATTGGCATGAGCAGGTGAAGTGCCATTGCGGCTTTAGGACGATCTTGTGCGTCTAGATGGATTGGTTTCCACGAGACAAATACAAGTGTAGGCACTTCACGTGCCCATATCTAGATGATGACTTCATGGTAATGACACCAACTAAATCATTTGTTTCTCATTATCGTTTGTCAACCTGATTCCATGACATCTACAGCTACACACGTAGCCATGCAAGTTCATCGAATGGGTGGATTGGGTGGCGCCGACATGGGTAATGCTTTTGCACTGCATTGATGGATATTTGTCAGATTATTTTCCTTTTTAGTGATCTCATTACTAAGGAAGCTCTCATCCTACTGCACAATGACGATCGTAGGCTCTTCGAAATAGAGGCGGCCCCCAACAACAGGAACGCATAGGCCAGCCTCACAGAGGATGTTGTTCTGGAGATCCTTTGCCGCCTCCACGCCCGCTCCTTGTACTACAAATGTGTCTGTCGCTTCTAGAACCGCCTCATCTCCAACAACCGTAAGGTGCTGCCCCAGACTATGGCCGACTTCTTCTACGATGGCGAGAAAGGCAAGAAGGACAGTTGGAGGCGTCACGGTGGTCGACAGGGTCCACAAGCACCGCACAAGTAGAAGACTGGCAAGCTCAAACCATGTTAGTTTTGACAAGATAGTCAAGTTGCCGTGCCGCAACCATGGCTACCCGGTCAAACACACCCTTGAAGAGTGCGACCTCATCAAACGTTATTTCAAGGACGACTACAAGGCAATCAGCACGGGCGCACCATTAGGATCCATTAGCGATGAGAGAAAGAAGGATGTGTGTCCTTGTAACACCTCGGGTGTTAGCCTTGCATAACTTGACTCGCATAACATGAGCATGATCATCACGCATTCATAAACCAGCATTTACCATGGAAACATTTGATGTGAAACATATGCAACGTTGCTTGTTATTGCATGTTTCTTTGTACATATGCAAATGGTCATGAATGTAAACATGTACTTGGTAGATTTGAGTCACCAAAATATTTGGCAATGCTTAGGTTCACAATTAGCACATGGATCATGAATGTCATTTTTCATAATCAAGTCTTTAAGGCATATTTCATGTGATTAATTTAAATAGCTCTATGAGTGACTACTACATAAAGTGATTGAATGACCTTGCAAATTGCTTGAACATGCTCAGGATATCATTATGAACAACTTTGGTATTTAGGACTAGGGCTAGTTTGGTCATTTGGTCATGGTTTGAATATGTATCATGATTTCAAAGTGACATGTTTGACTAAAGTTGAACTAGGTGTTAGAGACCTTGCATGGAGGGGTTCACTAAAGCAAAGTTGTAGTGTTTGACATTAGGAACAACTTTTATTTTTATATCATGGACTGATTTAGCTTCTAACATGCTTGAATTGGGGCCACAAAAGTCAACAAATAACTGTTGTCAACACTTAACAAATTTTTCTAAGTCTCGATCCCCGACACCGACTGACAAGCCGACTTTGATCATGATTTTACTCGGTTTACGGTGAGAATTGGAACACGATCATTGAACAACATTTGTAACTCATTACTTAGGTCTACAAAGTTGGTTTAGTAACCTAAGCGCTAATTCGTCACGGTTGGAAGATAAATCATCACCAAAACTTGTCGTCGGGATCGGTACCGAGGTTAATCGACGAACTAAATCACGGCGTCGTGGCCGCCGCCGTCGAGCCTTAACCGCCGCGTGGAGGGGGAAAAACGGCCGTCGTCGCCTCTCTGCTCACCTCGCCCACCCGAGCCACGATGTGCTGGGCGCGCTGCATCACGCCACCACTACCGCCCGCTCCTCCCGGCGCTCCCATTTCGCTTCGGCTTCCTTCTTCACACCGCAGCGCAGCAGACGAGCTCCTCCCGCCTCCGCCGTCGCCATTAGAGACGCCACTTTCGCGCCCTACTCCAAAGACCACCGCAATAGCTCCACCGTCTCCCCAAGACCCGTTGCTCCTTCCCGTGCCCATTGTCGGTAACAGGTAAGCCACCGCAACGCATGCAAGCTCGCGGAGTTCCGCCGTGAGCCCCGTCGTCCGTGGCCACGCGCCGCCACGATCCTCCTCCCGCTCCGTTAGCTAGCGCGCTAGGTCCCCCAGCGTTCATAGTTGCTTGTCCGCACCTTAGGTTGAGCCGCCGAGGTCGTCGCCGGCGTACCGCCGAGGTCGTCGCCGGCGTACCGCCGACGTCCAGCCTCGCCGTTCCGCCATGGTTGCCGCCGTCAGCTCTAGAGTCGACGACAAGGCCGGCCAAGTAGCTCAATAGCTTCGCTAGGTCACGTAGATCGTGTAATGAAGATGTTAGCGCCGGCGGATTCGCCGTCGACGAGCTGTGGTCGCGCGGGCTTGCTCTGCGCCGCCGGCTCTGCTTTGATCTCACTGACCAGTGGGCCCAACTGACGCGTGGGTCCCTGCTGTCAGCGACTCTAGGTTTTAAGGACAGTTCAAAAATTCCAGATTCAAGTGTGTTTTGTTATTTTTGTATCTTCAGTTTGGTAGCTCCTAAATTTGTGAAATAAATATGGTTGTGTTCCTTAGGAAGTGTAGTATTTAAGAAAAATATGTTCTTGGTTTCAACAGTAGAAATTTCTGGAGATTTAAATAAGGATTTGAAATGTCCTTTTGAATGCATTCAAATTTGTTTAATTTATATCTAGAGTTCCTGTGCTCCAAAAATTATGAAATTTTTGTGGTAAGTTAGTCTTAGCATATATGAGCTCTGGTAAAAATTTGAGGACCAGTGCATGTGTAGATTTGTAGTTATAGATTTTTCTTTTATGACTAGTTAATCCTTGCATGAATTTTCATAAATTAATTATGAGTCCAAAATTCATGAAATTTGTTGGAGGTAATCCTAGTACCATATGGGTGTTAAGAAAAATAGGAAATCTGTTGCTTGACACTTTTCAATAGGATTTTCCATTTATGCTATTTCAAGCCTTGCTGCCTTATCATTTTTGTATAGAATGTTCTACTTAGTAAAATGACCTGAAATTTTTATAGTAGTCCTTTGATAGCATTAGTAAGGCTCTGTAATTTTTTTAGAATTTATGAAGCACATCTGATATATATTTATTATTTAACCTAGATATCTAAATAAAATAATAAAGGCAATTTAATAAATAGTTTGGGCTTCACCATTATATTATATTAATTGTATTTGGTATGCTTAAACTGTTGGTAGATTCCATGTTGTCAAATTTTGAATGATTACATGAAGTAGAAGTATTATTACTTTAGATTGCATGTTAAATAGTTTCCATACTGATTCTAGAGTTTGATGAGTTGCATGTTGAAACTGATGTGTACTGTAAAAATGGTTAATAACAAAGTTGTAGAGAATTTGATAAGCTTTCCAGAAAGTCCAGGATCACTGGATTTGGATTTGTAGAACTCCAGTTATGAGTGAAACAAGTAGCTACTGTTTGTGGCATAGTCGATGCATTGTAGAGATAGTTAAGTAATAAACGAGAAGAGATATGCACCTACTCAATAAACATGATGCACTTGTTAACATATATGCATTCGTAATACTTATGCCATACTCATGCATCTAGGTTCGGAGGAAGAGATCACGTTGCTGGAATTCAAAGAAGCAGAGGAAGGGAACCAGCAGGAGGATCCGCAAGCCGCAGCTCCCGAAGGCGTGGAGCAGAACCCTGAAGAGCTTCCGGAGTGTCCTGACCACCGCCCTACTTCCTTTCTGCGAGGCAAGCCCCGGAGCATTATAAGTCTCCCAGTAATTTGCAAATGTTTACTTACGTATTTATGATTGATGCATTAGG